ATCCATGTACTCAATAGTCCAATTAACTCCCGACTGATAGTCACTGAAGGACCATTAGAAATGTCAAGTGTTCTTTACTTGTGCAACTAGGATCTCAAAAAAGAAAAACCCAATCCAAAAAATACTTCTTTAGGGGTTACACTTGATGACCTTTATTAAAACAACTCTGAAATTTGATGACCAGTATTACAAAATTCCTTGGATTAATGAGAACTACAGAACCATACATACAAAAATATGAAAATCTAAAGCTTTACTATGTTTCAAGAGCAAAAAACGTAGAACCAGTTGCTCCATGTTTTAAAATTGTTTAGTTTTTAACTTATTATTATCAATATAAAAATTGCTATATAAAGAATAAAATAAAAGGATCAATTAAATATGTACTCCCAAGGGGTATGCCATATAGCAAAGGAAATAAAGGAAAGCCATAAAAATTATATTTCAACAAAAATATTATAAATTAGCTGTACAGGAATATACATTTATGGAGTTTCATAGGCAAGAGGAAGAACAGAAAAGTGATTGACTCTAGAGACAGAGATTTAGAAGAGTATAAAAAGAAATGATAGAAAATCTAGATGTAGCTCTGGTGTTGAATACTACATACAGGTGAGCAGTGGATGAGAAGTGTGGAAGAATAGGCTTTAATCACCCCAGGGATGGCCATGAGGGGGCATAAAAGTACAACAAAGGTTTGTAAATGGGAAAATAATGTTATTTATGCACTGCACAGTATAAGTAGATGATAGAATGAATGCTGTGGTTGTCAAGACACAAGAGTGAAAGCAGTTGGAAACTAGGGCAACAGGGTAGGCAAGGCACAGACCCAGAAGGCCAGGATACAGGCAGCAATTTGCAAAAGTGTGAAAGACTTATTTCCAAGAATTGGAAGGAAATGGGTTTTATCAGTATGGAGATACCTCAAAGAACTAGGACTAGAGGTCCCATTTGACCCAGCTATTCCCCTGCTGGGTATCTTCCCAAAGGAATTAAAACAATCATACCACAGTGATATATGTGCACCCATGTTTATAGCGGCACAGTTTGTGATAGCTAAAGCTTGGAAGCAGCCCAAATGCTCATCAACTGGAGACTGGATAAAGAAGATGTGGTTTTCTTGTTTTTTTTATAAAATGGAGTACTACTCAGCCAAAATTAGTGAGAAATTAGAGACATTTATAGCTAAGTGGATGCACATTGAGGCTATACTCTTAAGTGAAATAAATAGGACACACATGTGTAAATACCGAATGGTTTCTCTAGTGTGAGAAACTGAAAGTGTAAATAAGGATCAAAATGTATAATAGATAAATGAAATAAGAAGAAACTCTCCAAAGAGGAAGGGGGGGGGGAGAAGGCAAAGGAATAAATATGAGAAAAGGAAAAAACAGAAACAAAGTCTTTATAAATAAGGAGGGGTGGAGGAGCTGAAGGGAGGGCAGGGGAAGGGGGAAAAAATAAGAACCAAGGTATTACATGTAAAGGTGCAAATTTCCAATGATGAATGTCATTATATTGTATACCTAAAACGTACCAATAAAATTAATGAACAAAAAAAATACATATGTGGGGACTGACAGAAAGAGAAGAGGCAGACAACTAGCCATTTTCAAGTGTACAAACAGTAGCAGCGACAACTTGGAAAGATAGCATAGAAAGAAAATTGGGGCAATGGTGAAGATAAGGATTATTTTTTCTAACCCATTAAATGCTGGTGCTGGCAACCAAAGTAAGTGAACAATAGGGGTCGGAAAGACAGGTCTGGACTTAGGAGAAGGACAGGCCCAGAGAACACTGAGACACCTAAGCACAAATGAGAGTTTATGTTATATTTGGGGTTTTTTTGTTTTTGTTTTTCGTACCGGGGATCGAACTCAAGACCTTTCACTTGTAAGGCAGGAGTGGTATCACTAAGCTAAATCCCCAGGCTCTGATGGGATTTTATATTATTGCTCACCAGTACTAATCTGCTTGTCCTCCTTGTAGGGAAATTCTTCCACTGTGATTTGGCTTGGCCATGCAACCCTCCAATGAAAAGTGAGGGGATGCTATACATTACTCCACCAAAAATTAGCTTTAAGAGCCCATTGATTTCTGACCATCTTTTCCCTCTGCTATGTAATCATCAATGTACAGCTAATGGCTGCTTCCACAGTTTGACCGGGGTGTTAAAGTCATGCAAATAAAAAATACAACTGATACAGGGTGAGTGAAGAGTTCTCAGTTGTTATAGAAGCTACTGGGCTTTGGAGGTTGTTTATTTCCGTATAACCTCACCTACTCTGACTGATAAACATGGGAATGAATGTGATTCCTCAAGAATCAAAAGTAAAGAAAGGTCACAAGACAGTGCCATACAGAATTTAATTGTACAATTCTGAATTTGTCACTTCATAAAAGAAAAAACAAACAACATACTTATATTTGCTAAGTTACTTTCAGTATAATTTCTTGATTTTTGCCATTGCTTTTTCAGCATGAGAAACTTGCATTTAAAAAAAAACTTGCTTGATCAGATAATTATTCTGGCTAGTTTTGGAAATTCTGGCTCTATGAAATATTCTGTAATAAATAGTAACCATTTTATATATAAGTGTTTAATATATTTTAAAATATTATTTTTGCCTATAAATTTTTATGTGAAAATTCATCAACCTAACCCTTCTCATTAGATTATAAGAACTAAAATTATACTTTAATGTTAAGTATACTTCAATGACCCCCTTGCTTAGAAATGGATAAACTAGAATTTCCATGACCAACTAGTTGGTAGTTGATCACCAAATACTAATTTGTGCTCAAAGACTGATATAAGTAGTGAAAAAGAAAAGTAAGATCATAGGTTAGTGAATCACCCATAGGTGATCTGGACATATTTGTTACCCCAAACAGCAATTAAGTCTCTATTATTTATATTAATAATAATACATGATTTAAGAATTTAAGAGAAAATATCTTTCAAAATTCTTTTTATCAAGAAAGTTTGAAATAGAACTAGTTCTTTTTAAGTATCTTATTTTCAAAGCAGTTTTCTTGTTCAAGTCCACATCACCTTTTGCCGTTTTCACTGTTGCTGTCCTATACTCTCTGAGGGTTCTCATCTATCAAAGCATTTTCATGATTAGCATTTTCAAAGAAATTGGTTTGGTTTTCTTCATATAATTTGAATAGTTTTTCTCATATAATTGGATTATTTTATTGAGATGATTTAGTAAAGCCAGTAAACATAATTTAATGTGTATCTTTTATAAATGGATGACTTCATAAATCAGAACATTCCTGTGCCTTAAAGGGAAGTTATAAATGTTTTATTACTAACAAATGCATGATCTTTGATCAAGAGTCTTATCTCCATCTCTTTCTCCCAAGTATTTAATTGTTCTAGAAAACTAGAGACTTATTTTGATTTCAGTATTATGTTCCTGATCAGTATGGGAAAGCAATCAGTAATAAAAAGGACAAGTTGTTTTAAGAAAACACATATTTGTCAGCTCAGATGCCTCTCTTTTATATAATACAATGGGAAAAGGAGTACAAAATAGATGTAGCTTTCCTGGGTTCCATAGAGAGTTTTGTGGAAATTCAAGTTTAAAGATAGAATTTTGCTTAAAACATCTGGTGAATGGGTGAATTTTTAGTTTCTCATCCTCTATGACTTTTTTCTGGGTATTGGTCCCTATGAATTAGGAAAGCATTAATCATTTTCTTTCTTGTGGTTCAGGATATTTGCAACAACTTTACAGACTTTGCTATCCCTTCTGCTCTCCTGGATTTTCTCTAGCTCCAGATTGGAAGGTATTTACCACTTCAACATCCTTTCCACTGTTGGATAAGTTTTGCCATATTTATTTCATGTAATTCTGTTCCATAGACCAATCCAAAATTTATTCCCATTCAACATCTCAAAGTACTGAGCCTTAATGACTACTACTTTTCACATTCCAGTCTTAAGGTTGAGGGGTGCAGGTTTGTGTTCACAACTCATTTCCCTAACAGAGACAACACCCACTGGGTAATTACCTGACTCATGCTTGCAGCTCTACCCAAAATGCACATACATACTTTTTTATGATGTGCATCTTTAACACAAGAAGGATTTTGTATTTAAAGAAAGGGTCAAAATAACCTAAAGAGCCACTATTGATTTAAAAAATATCTAAGAGTGGAAATATTCAGGACAAACAAAAATGATCCTCTCACCCTTTAAATCAAACTTATCTCTTTGATTCACCTTCCCATTATTTTCTTGTCATTAAAAAGCTATTTTAAAAAAAAGATATATCCATGAATTGCACAAAACTTCCATTAAAGTAAAATCTGAGGACCAATGGTTTTATATTTTAAAATGCCAACATAGGAAAACCCCAACTGGCTAATAATAAGCTGGTCATTTGCAGAAGCTATCCCAAGAGGCCAATCAGAGGCCATTATTTCAGTATGAAGACTGTTATAAAGATTAATTAGTATCAGTAACACTTACCTGTATATGCAGAGGGAAAGTTACCCAGCCATAATGAACCCAGAATTACACAGCTATTAGGTAAAACAACACACTGTTTGGAATTTATGAGAATAAAGTCTGTTAGTAATAATGCTTTTATTGGAGCCTTCTTGATTCATTTGGCCTTCTGTGCTGTGCATGCACAGTTAAATCAAATCTTACATGCAGTTGTAAGCTAAGGTATTGTGCACAAGATGCTAAGGATACACACTTCTCAAAAAAGGTTATAGGATATATGGCTTCCAAAGCCTTTATTACTGCTGTGTTCTTCTGAAGAGCCACAGGACTCTTTCAAAATGCAAAATCTGGAATATAACTGGGGATTATTTTAAGGGTAGTGGAAAAATGAGAGGAAACAATTATCATTAAACAGAAAGATGGTTCAAGCGTGAATCAATGTGGCAGACACATAATTAAAAAGACATAGGGTTAGACAAGAGAGGAAACTCCCAAACAAGAACCATGAGGAAAACAACAACAAAGATCATCGCTTAACCTGTTTTGTCAGAGCTGGTATTGATGGTATTGGTATTGATGGAGGTGAAGGCAGTCTTTGCGCTGTCCTTGGCAGTTACAGATTTCTGCTTATTTTTCATGGCTTCCAGTGCTTTGAGCTTCTTGGCATGTTTCGTGCCTTTGTAGTGGGCCGCAGCCTGGCTCTACAAAGGAGAACAAAATGAACCATGCAATCAGGCTCATTTCTAAACTGGCATTCTCTGTATTACTGCAAATACAGACTTCCTTTCAATAACAGGTACCATTCAAGCTAATTCTGGCCATGGCCAAACAGTAAGGTTTTATTTAGAATGATGCTGAAAAGCAATGGGAATCAAGTTCTAAACCATTAGGACAAATGGAGGAAATATTCTACTGTGTCTCTCAAGGGAAATGTGGCTGAATAGTAACACATCAACATTTTTTGTGTGTGGAGTGGGGGAAAGAATCCTAAGAATTTACACCAGTATTGCCTTTGTTCTGCCACTGAAGATGCTGGGCTCCCAAACATTAACGAGAGCCCTAGAAAACAGCAGCTCTCATCTTTTTGGCTCAGGAAAATGTTTCCCCTTTTTACAACGCGTCTTATTAATACAGTCCCCAACAGGTGTCTATAAGAAAGGTTCACACATAACAGGAGAAGTGGGCCCCCTGGAGACTGAGATTGAAGCTTGAGGCTCAAAAGCAAATGCAATGCCTGAGTCCAGATGGAGTCACGTGGAAGCCAGGCAGTCTCGGATTCTTTTTTTCTTCTCCTTGCTTTCTATCAAGGATACCCTGAGAAATTCAAAGGAGTCTCATTCCTTCAACAAATAGTTCTTTCGGGTCACAGTCCATGGTCAGGAGGCTCCAGTGTGCTTTACTTAATGGGGCAAATGCAATTCCTTTTCCTGTGTCTTGTGAGTTTTTTAAACAATGATATATATTTCCCAAATTTATATTTTCTTAACACTATTTTGAGGGCATGTACTAGAGAAACACATTAATTGATAAATAAAATCATCTTTAAAGAAATATGCACTAATCAATATTTATTCAGAAGGAAAAGCTTTTGCAGTATGAAGTGGTATGGCAGGATGATGGCAGAGAGGGAAATTCTTAGATCAGAAGGTTTTTTATGTCAAAAGCTTTAAAAATATCTCACAGGAAAGAAACTCACTTGAGGACTATTTCTGTTAGGTTACCCATTACTTCCTATTGCTTAGTAAAACTAAATGTTTCATTTTGTGAAAAAATAAAACAATAATCAGACTGTTGCCTTCTTTATAGCAATTGCAGTAGGCAGGGTGTGTGATATAATATCTTTTAATAAACAGTCTACACCCTCATTTGCATCATTCTGACAAGATAGTCTCAAGTGGCTAGGTACCCTTATTGAAAGAACACTGGACAAAGAAATTATATATTAAAAAACAGTTTGAACAGAGAGCACACTCATGCATCAGTTACAAGTTTTCCAACAACACATAACACCAAAAGACATAGTGTGAGCAGGAGTAGGAAATTAAGACATGCTATAGTTAATCAAGAAACCAATGACTGGATTCCTTTCTATGTAAGAAAGCTACTTTGATGGACAGAATTATATATCTTTTTTTTTCCCCGTCTCATTCTCCTTTTTAACAAATCAAATCATTTGGCCATATTTTTTGAGAACTATGTACTATATTCAACATAGTTGATTATTTTCTCTAGACAACTGGCTACATGGTTTCCCCTAAAACAAAGTTGCTCACTTCTCCCTGCTGATAAATGTCCTCTCTCAGTGAAGGTGAATATTTTTATAATATATATTAAAAGACTGGGTTTTCATTGAGTCCTCTTCACTTATGCCTCCCAAATACTATACATTTAAAATATTTCTAGCAAATGTACTTTCTCAGTGGTATTTCAAATGAGGTTAGACTTTGTATTATCATAACATAGGCCAAGTGAACATCACTATTTTTGTTTGTTTGTTTTTTGTTGTTGTTGTTTTATTTTTTGGTACCAGGGATCAAACTCAGGACCTTGTGCTTGCAAGGCAGGTGCAGTGCCACTGAGCTAAATCCCCAGCCCTAAATATCATTATTTTTGAAATTAAGAAACTTATTACAAAAGAGCTCCCATAACAAGCAAATACACAAGCAAATTCCACAGAAAAACAAGCCCCTCTCTGCACAGGTATAGCTAGACCAATTTTCTCCTGCAAGAGAAGTGGCTCAGGGAGTCATGGGTAGAAGGAGTGACATAATGACTAGTAGCTGGAGGAATCCCAAATGAGACACTTGACATATTAAAATCCAAAATTAAAAAAAGTGAATGTATACTCATACTCACTTGTTCATTAAGTGATGGTGAGTACCTTTGTAATTATTTAAATAAAAAATTCTCTGATTTTTTGAAAAAGGTAACTAAGGATCCCCCAAATTTGAAGAAAAAGAATCAAGTGATGCAAAGGTACAAGCTGCTATAGAGAAAATAGGACATGTAGGATTTAGGAGACATGGAATCTAGTGGGGTGATTATGACAGAGAAGGCTAATGTAACTGCAATAGTCAGGGTGTATTGAAGTGGGCACACAAATTTAAAACCCAATGGAAATAGCTCTTCTAAAATTTTCTTCATTTTCGTCTTATGAAGTGATTAGAGAATTTTTAGATTGCTTGTGGGTTATCTAGTATAAATTTTTCTAATCTGTGTATATTGACCACGTAACTCATAGTTCTACCTTGAGTGGGGTCTCTTGTATAAAGATGTGTTCCTTGTGAGAGAGGAAGCCCAGTCAAATCTCCTTACCTTTTTGGTATACTCAACCAGGCTAGATAGATTATTCAGCCAACCTAATCTCCCTGGGGGTGTAGATAAAGCAGAAGCCTAAGTGGCAGTTCTGCTGAGAGATTTGTAAAAGACAGCAGGTGATCAGAAATGTTTCTTTGGACCTCCTCTGCTTCCCCTTTAGGCAGAAAGGTATAAGATGGTCATCCAGATGCCAGACACCATGTTCTCTCTGAGGCTATTTCTGATATTTGTTAGTTCCTGAGTCAGAAACCTGGGAACCATCAAGTCACAAGCAAATGTTCACTTTTCATAGGAATGACTTTAAGGCTAAATAGGTAAGCATGCTAATATCATACTATATTTCAGATTCTGTACTTTAAAACTAAAGGTAGCACACCTAGAAATGAGCAAAACAGCAAGAACTATGTTTTAACCACTGAATTTTAAGTAATACATAGAATCTGAGGGCACTGCATATAAAAATCACTGTATTGATCTTGAAATAGCACATGATATCATGAAATTAACAAGTGTCATCCCAGAGGCAAGTGCTGACATTAAAGATAGACAACCCATTCCTGTAAAACGGAATAATGCCATTTTAGAAGTTATTGCATATCCGAGTTATCAGTAGCCAGTCAGACTTTTCAATTTGTAAATTTTGTCTTCCCTCTTTCAAAATGGCTTGTTTAAATACAACTGAAATTCCAAAGTAGATAAAATGAATTTGGAAGTTGCTAACATTTGAAGAAGGATTTTATCATTTCGAAACAAACATACACACATTGATTTTACTTGTTTAAGAGGCACTTTTATAAATTATTAATGTCCCATAAATTCACTAGAAATTTAAAATTCATGTAGCATTTCCTACCGTTAACAGTAGAATCTTATATACTTTTGCTCAACTCATTACATAACTAATGAGACTTGATATGCTTTTGTAAAACTAAGGAATTTTATGTAAGGATATATAACTTTTTACCATAATCAATTAATTTTCATGAACACATGTGATTTTTAAAAAGAACAAGGGTGGTTCTTGTTGCTTTGTGATATCATGTAATTTTATAACATTAAATTTTATTTAATAAATGAATATCATTATACTCATGAAATTTGGTATCTTAAAATGCATATAGAGTATTAGTCTTCAAAGTATGGACCCCCAAAACAGCAGCGTAAGAATCTTAGTGTTGGCTTGGCAATTTGTTAAAATGCAAATATCCATTGACAATTCCAGATTTTCTGAATCAGAAACCATGGGGATGAGACTCGGAAATTAGTGTTTTGTAAGCTCTCTGTGTGATTCCGATGCATGTTAAACTTTCAGATCCACTCATTTTAATTGTAAGAGCATTTTCTCCAAAAATGGTCATGTCTTGTACAGATAATTGTTGGAGCTCAGAAAGCAATAACCCAAAGCATAGTACGTTGACTTACTGAGTACTTGACTTTTATTTTTGTTTTGGTACTGGGGGATCATACTCAGGACCTTGCGCTTGCGAGGCGAGGCAGGCGGTGGCACCACTGAGCTAAATCCCCGGTCCTGAGTACTTTAAATTACAGAAGTAGTCTTAGAACCAAGGTCTTTGATCTCCTATATCTTGTTTTTTATCCCTCTTTCCTTCCCACCAAAAGCACGCAGAGGGCCTTTTTCTCAATTTCCCTTAGCTGACTAAAAACAGTTCCTATAGCACAATGCAATTATTATAACTTCCTCCTTGGAATCCCACCAATCTATGATTAACTCTTATCAAAGTAAAGGAGACTAAGAGTGATGTCTAGTCATGAGGATCTAGCTTACCTTTACCTATTGTTCTGAGGGCTGCGACTTGAGAAAGCCTGTCAAAATAAAAGGGCAGTCTTTGTTTTTCATTTCTTCCTCTAACCCACCTATAACAATGTCCAATTCCTCCAAGAAACCTCAATCTCCTATTCCTTTCCCTGAGGAAGCTAAGCTTCAACTGTCTTGCGCTTTCTAGTCATATTTTGCATAGCTGTCATGCATATGCATGTATCAAATGTGCATGCCTCTTCTCATAATCTGTGCACTGCCAATTTATTTCACAGACTCAAATCATTATCAAACCTTAATAGAAAGAGAAGAGACCTTTCTCTTCTGTATAATTGAAGTCTAGTTTTTAAAGAATATATAATCATTCAAAAATTAAATATTTACGTGTCTGAATGTGTGCCACACTTATTACCCAAGAAAAATGACCACAAGTGGCTTTCATTAAAATAAATCCTAAAAACAAGTAAAAATTACTCCAAATATATATGTAATTGGGAAACTTCTATCCAAGAGGGTTGAATTGAGATAGCAAATAAGCCTTGAAAATCTTCTTACCATTCTAAAACTACATATAAGTAATTGTCAAGTCCTTCTGATTTTTGTTTG